GCAGTGGGGCTCCGGGGGCTCCAGCCGGGGCGGCTGCAGGGCACCAGACAGGTTCCCCCTTGGCAGGCACAGTGGCCCAGGGTCGGGGCCGGGCCGCGGGGACCCCGGTGGGGGCCAAGGCAGCAGGTCGGGGAGCCGCTCCCCACTCACCCCGGAAGGCGTAGGTGCGGTTGGCGTCGTCGGCGGTGAAGGCCTGGAAGGCAAGGCCGCTGCAGGGGTCCCGGATGCCCATGGCGGTGGCGTTTCTGCGCGCCTCGTGCCCGTGCCCTGCACCCGCCGGCGGGGGAGAGAGGGGTCAGGTACAGGCAGGGGGCAGGGGCATATTGGCAGGGCCGGCTCCAGGCACCAGCTGAGCAAGCTAGTGCTTGGGGCGGCAGATTGTTCGAGGCGGCATCTGCCCAATCCTAGGGCGGCACGGCCGCTTTTTGTTTGTTTGTTGTTGTTCCGCTCCAGCCGCCCTGTAGGGGACGGCAGCGTGGAGAACCAGAGCGCCCTGTAGGGGGCGGCAGCGCGGAGAACCAGAGCGCCCTGCAGGGCCGTCCTCATCCTTCCCTCCCCGCCGACCGGAGTGGCGCCCTGGCGGCAGGCGGCAGGAGGCGGCGCGGCGGGAGGGGCCGCGTGGCAGCGCCCCTGCTGTAGCCCTGGCCATCCCCTGTGACATTATTGATATAATCTGGGACCATATAGATCATTGTTGCAACCAACGTCCTGTATTGGCACCAAATCTTGTATAAAGGGGTCAAATGAGGTGTCTAAGACAAGGTTATGGTTTGCTGGTTATGATTATGCTGTCTATATGTGTGTATCAATTTTGTAGTTGACGTTATGAATATTGGCTCTATACTGTCTGTATGGCAAATTTATGCTATGCTTCTGGGGAAGACCCCAGACAAACTGGGATTAGCTCTGCCTAGCCTGCTTGATGGCCCATTAAGGACCATCAGCTATACAATGGACCCATTGAAAGAAGGCAGATACGCCTTGTAACTCAGCAAAGTATGCAGGGACTGGCCCATGTGACTCCAAACTCCATTTTGCTGTAATTTTCCACAGTGAGAACAAAGAGGTGTTCTTACACCTGGAAAAGACTATATAAGGCTGATGCCTCATCTCCATCTGGTCTTCAATCCTGCTTCATACCTCTGGAGGAACTTTGCTACAAGCTGAAGCTTTGAACAAAGGACTGAGGACCCATCCCAGCAGGGGATGTATTCCAGAGACTTGATTTGAACCTGCAGTTTATTCTATCGCTGCTGCAAGCCTGAACCAAGAACTTTGCCATTACTGTATGTAATTGATTCCATTTAACCAATCCTAACTCTCATCTCTATCTTTTTCCTTTTATGAATAAACCTTTAGATTTTAGATTCTAAAGGGTTGGCAACAGCGTGATTTGTGGGTAAGATCTGATTTGTATATTGACCTGGGTCTGGGGCTTGGTCCTTTGGGATCAGGAGAACCTTTTTCTTTTACTGGGGTATTGGTTTTCATAATCATTTGTCCCCATAACGAGTGGCACTGGTGGTAATACTGGGAAACTGGAGTGTCTTAGGAGATTGCTTGTGAGACTTGCGGTTAGCCAGTGGGGTGAGACCGAAGTCCTCCTAGTCTGGCTGGTTTGGTTTGCCTTAGAGGTGGAAAAAACCCCAGCCTTGGGCTGTAACTGCCCTGTTTGAGCAATTTGTCCTGAGTTGGCACTCAGTTGGGTTCCGCCAGAATCGCATCGTCACACAGCCCCCACTCAGCCCCGCTGCCCCCAGCCACCCGCACGGCCCCGGTCAGCGCCCGGGTCAGCCCCACCTGCCCCCCAGCCACCCGCACGGCCCTGGTCAGCGCCAGCCCAGCCCCCCGGCCACCCGCACGGCCCGGGTCAGCGCCCGCCCAGCCCCCCGCACGGCCCGGGTCAGCGCCCGCCAGCCCCCCAGCCCCCCGGCCAACCGCACGGCCCGGGTCAGCGCCCGCCCAGCGCCCCGGCCCTCCGGCCAACCGCACGGCCCGGGTCAGCGCCCGCCCAGCCCCACCTGCCCGCTCCCAGCCCGGCCCCGCCTGCCCCCCAGCCCGGCCCCATACCCTTGAAGAAGAGAAGGCTCTCGGCCGTGCAGTCCTCGGGGTGACACTCCACGGCGCTGTCCAGGTCCCCAGGCACCCCCTTGAATTCCTCTCCGATGAGCCGGGGGTAGCCGGGCCGCAGCCGGCCCCCCGCATACGCCCAGACCTGCTCGCCCTGTGGGCACACGCAGCTCAGCTGGGACCGTGGGGCTGTGTGGAGACGGGCCTGGCCTGGCACCTGAGCCGGCAGGACCCCGGGCACTGGCCTTTCCCCACTGATTCTCTGCCCCCCCCCCCCCTGCAGCCTGGCCCCCCACTGAGCCCCCACCCCCTGCAGCCCAGCCCCCCACTGAGGCCCCCACTGCAGCCCAGCCCCCCACTGAACCCCCTCCCCCTGCAGCCCAGCCCCCCCACTGAGCCCCCCACTGCAGCCTGGCCCCCCACTGAGCCCCCACCCCCTGCAGCCCAGCCCCCCACTGAGGCCCTGCCTGGCCACCTGGCACCTGGAAGAGGTAGACGTTGTCGTGCACGCTGGGGGACTCCTTGTGGTGGATGCGCAGTGCAGCGTCCACAGGGCCCTGGATCTCAGGCCAGCTGGCATTGATGAGCTGGGCCGGGCCGTGGAAGCCCTTCCAGACGTGGGCACCTGCCGGGCGAGGCCGAGGGAGCCTGAGCAGGGCCGGGTGATGAAGTGGGAACGTTCTTAACGTTTTCTCTAAACACTGTGCGTGCCTCAGTTTCCCCACGTGTTACTCAAGTACCGAGGCGCTGGGACCAGGGGGTGTGATTGTCGCAGAGACCCCTAGAGGGCAGGTGGGACTGCTGACGGGCTGCAGAGAACGACCGACACTCGTAGCCTGGCAGCTGCTGGCCGGGCCCCCTCCTCTGCAAGGAGCTGGGGCGGGGGGGTTGGTGCAGCCCAGGTGACCGGCTGGACCCGGAAAGGGACAAAGGACGGAGGAGGGCAACGGGTGTGATGGAGGCCGGGCAGCTGAAAGCGAGTCAGTCTCCTGGTTGGGGACTCAGGTCGAGGGCCCAGGGCCCTGCCCCCCCCTCCCCCCCAATGGACTTTGCCGAAGGTCCCTGATCTCGGTGCTACCAAGCTCTGTTCTACGCTGGGTTCCCGATGATAATAACCTGTCTGTGTCACACGCGGGCGGGGAGTCACGGCTGGCTGCGGTGTGGGGGGCAGGGCCCTTTGGGGGTGAGGCTCCCCCAGGGGTCCCGCCCAGGGAGACTCGCTGCGGGGAGCTCCTGGGGTGTCCAGGGGGCTGAACGCTCCGAGGTCAGACCCAGGAGGTGCCGAAGCGGAGCAGGGTCCTTGCCCTGGGACAGGTGCCCTGAGGGGAGACGCTGCCCCAGAGTCCTGCCTGGCGTCACTCCGAGCGGGGCCAGAGCCCCCAGCCTGGGCACGCCCCTCTGTGACAAAGTGGGACTGTTCTTAATGTTTCCTTTGAATACTGTGTGGGTGCCTCAGTTTCCCCTATGCATTTTTTAAGTCTCTAGGTGGTGGGATAAGGGGGTGTAATTGTTGCAGAGCAAAGGGCCATTGTGCATAAATGGCCGACACTGTCTCCTGGCAAGTAATGGCCGGGGCCCTTCCCCCCTGCAAGGTGACAGCTAAAGGTGCTGGAGAACAAAGAGATCAGGTGGCCTCCTGGCCCAGGAAAGAGACAAAGCCCAGAGAAGGAGGGGCTGGAGGGGGTTTCAGTTTGGAGCTGGCTGGGGACTGGAAGGGAGGGCAGATGGGGGTGTCTGGCTCGCGGGACCCCAGAATGGACCCGGCTGAGGGGTCCCGTTCTCTGTACCTACAAGCTCTGTTTTAGACCGTGTTCCTGTCATCTAATAAACCTCTGTTTTACTGGCTGGCTGAGAGTCACCTCTGACTGCGAAGTGGGGGTGCAGAACCCTCTGGCTTCCCCAGGACCCCGCCTGGGCGGACTCGCTGTGGGAAGCGCACGGAGGGGCATATGCTGAATGCTCCCAGGAGAGACCCAGGAGGTGAAGCCGTGTGAGCTTCTTGCCCTGAAGACAGTCTGCTCCAAGGGAGAGGAGGCTCCCCAAAGTCCTGCCTGGCTTCGTAGGGAGCAGTTCCAGAGCATCGCCCGGGGACTCCATGACACACTCCCTCCCCATCCCAGCAGCCAGAGACCCCCATACCTCTGAAGAAGAGCATCACGCCATGCTCGTCCAGTGTGACGGCATCAAAGCCCCCTTCGTCCGCACACCGGCTCGCCACCTCTGGGGAGGAGAGTACAGTGCAGTCCAGCACAGGGGTTTGGGGGGCACCCCCCATCCTGCCCCCCAGGAACTACCCAGCCTCCCTGCCACCAACCCAGCCTCCCCCCACCACATTCACTGACCCAACCTGCCTCCACCCCCCTGCTGCCACATCCCCAGGAACCAACCCGCCCCCCGCCCCCCATGAGAATGTGGGAATGTTCAGAGTGTTTTGTACGACAGTGTGTGCCTCAGTTTCCCTATGTGCTGCACAGTTGCCTGGGGGCTGGGGGGGAAGGTGACTTGCTCTTTGAAGAGACCCAGAGATCCAGGTGTGACGGGCACCTGAGCACAGACACTGGCCCAGCCACTGGGTACTGACAACCAACGCCCCCCCCCCCCCCCCCCCCCCGCGGGAAGCCAGTGGTCGGATCAGCTGGAGGACGAGGGCCAGGTGACCAGGTTTGCCCGGGAACTAGAACAGAGCACGGAGGGGCCGGGGGTAGTGACGCAGGGGCAGCTGGAGCCGGGTGAGGGTGCTGGGTTGGGGGAGCCGGGCTGGGGGTGCTGGGCTGGGGGAGCCGGGCTAGGGGTGCTAGGCTGCGGGAGCTGGGCCGGGGGAGCCAGGCGAGGGTGCCAGGCTGGGGGTGCTGGGCTGCTGGATCCCTGACACACACACCCTGCTGCATCCCAACCCCCCAGGCCGCAGGCTGCCCCCCGGCTGCATCTCACCTGTGTCGTTGAGATGGGTCTCAGCCCCATGGTGGAACCGCGCTCCGGCCTCCCCCGGTTTGCCAGGGCTGTTGTGAAGAGAAGGCAGTTTGGGTCCCGGTTCACTGAGGTCTCCTCCCCAGCTGGCTCCTCTCCTTGCTGGGGCAGTGGGGGGGGCACGGACCCCATACAACGAGGGGTAGCATTAGCCTTGGGGCCCGGGCCCTGCTGTGAGCTCCTGGGGGCGGGGCACCTGGGTGCTGGGCCCCGGGGTCTGGGCAGGTGCTTGGCGTGGGGGCTGGTGTGGGGTAAAACATACCCACCTCTCCCTGCCTGCGGGAGCCACGCCCGGGGTCTGGGCAACTGCTTGCACGAACACCTGTGCCCTCCTGCCGTGCACTAGCGCCCGTCCCTCTCGCATCAGCACCTGTCCCTCTTGCACCAGTGCCGACACCTTCCTGCCATGCACCAGCACCCATCCCTCTCGCACCAACGTCTGTCCCTCTCGCACCAGTGCCCGTCTCTCTCGCACCAATGTCTGTCCCTCTTGCACCAGCGCCCGTCCCTCTCGCACCAACTTCTGTCCCTCTTGCACCAGCGCCCGTCCCTCTTGCTCCAGCGCCTGTCCCTCTCGCGCCAGTGCCCGTCTCTCTCGCACCAACGTCTGTCCCTCTCGCGCCAATGCCCATCTCTCTTGCACCAACGTCTGTCCCTCTCGCACCAGCGCTCACGCCTGCCCTTCCTCACACAAACGCTTCTGCCAGTGCCATCCCCACCTGCCCGTGAAGCCAGGCCCTGCCCCTCGGACATGGGCCCCCCTCACCCCATCCCCCCTCGCACGGTCCCTCTGGCAGTGCCCCTCACTGCCTGGCGCCAGGAGCTGTGCCCAACGCCCCACGCTGAGCCCCTGGCCCCGGCAGTGCCACTCACAGGGAGTGGGTGAGCCCCAGGGCCAGCGCCCAGGCCAGGGACAGGGCAGCCACTGCTCCGCGCATGCTGGGTCGGGTCAGGGCTCTGGGCTGTCGCCCTCCCCTATATAGAGTGGGAGGCAGGGCCCAGAGCCCATGGCACAGCCCCCAGCCCCCCAGCCCGGAGCCGCTCCAATTAACCCCGCACACGCCAGGCTCCCCAGCACCACAGCCTGGAGCCGAGGAGACCCCCAGAACCCAGCAGCAGCCGCCAGGTGGGATGGGGAGACTCTGCCCCCCTGGAGCCGAGCAGGGCAGGGGTCGGGCACTGTCTGCCCCAGGACTCGGCCCCCTGGACCGTGCTGGGATGGGGGACAGGGCTGAGCAAGGTGCCACGGGGGGGCGGGGGGGGTCTCCAGGGCTCCTCGCACCTGAGCCGCTGTCCCTCGACCCAGGGCTGCCCCTGGGTCCCTGCTGGGTAAACCCCCTGAGTGCTGGCCAGGGGCCCGGGGACAGCTGGGGGCGGGGCAGGGGGCCTGTATGGGGCAGAGGGACCAGGGCGGGGGGGCTCCATGGGGCAGAGGGACGGGACGGGAGGGCAGAGGGACGGGGCAGGGGGGCTCCATGGGGCAGAGGGATGGGGCAGGGGGCTGCATGGGGCAGAGGGACGGGGCGGGGGAGGCTCCAAGGGGCAGAGGGACCGCGGTGGGGGGGGGCTGCATGGGGCAGAGGGACCAGGGCGGTGGGGGGGCTGCATGGGGCAGAGGGACCGGGGGGGGGGGGGCTCCATGGGGCAGAAGGACGGGACGGGATGGGGGAGGGGGCACATTCCTGGCACTGTCCTGCCTGTTTCCCAGCAGCTCCCTGGGGACGCCCCATGCGGGGGGCAGACTCTGGCCCCAGCTCTGTTTGCTCAGCTCAGGGCCACGACCGGGGCCGGGGCTAAAGTGCAGATCAGTGAGCTCAGCACCTGGGGGTCAGGGCCTCTGCGGTGCTCAGACGGGACAGCCTGGGCCCTGCCCCCCTTCCTGGGGCCTGGGGCCCTGCCCCCCCTTCCCTGGGCCTGGGGCCCTGCCCCCCTTCCTCGGCCCTGCCCCCCCTTCCTGGGGCCTAGGGCCCTGCCCCCCTTCCCTGGGCCTGGGGCCCTGCCCCCCCTTCCTGGGGCCTGGGGCCCTGCCCCCCTTCCTTGGGCCCTGCCCCCCCTCCTGGGGCCTGGGGCCCTGCATGGGGCAGAGGCCCTGCCCCGCCTTCCCAGAGCCTGGGGCCCTGCCCCCCCCCTTTCCTGGGCCCTGCCCCCTTTCCCTGGGCCTGGGGCCCTGCCCCCCCTTCCCGGGGCCTGGGCCCTGCCCCCCCTTCCCGGGGCCTGGATGCTGTAACGATGCTGCCCAACAGGGGGCAGACAAACCCCAAAAGCTAGTGGATATTCCAACACTTAGATTTACCAACCAGCACAAAACAGCCTCTGTGTTACCTCACTGGTTACTCAGAGTCCAAACAACACAGTTCCCTTAACGTGCCCAGCCTCAGGCCTCCGTCCAGACACGTCAGATGTGATGATGATTACTGAAAATCTTATCTCATCATATAAAAGAAAGGATCTTCCAACCCCAAAGTATCAGCCCTATAACTTAGATCTGACCCAAAATACACACTAATAGTCAATTCTTGTTAACTACGCTAAAATTTATTAAAAAAGAAAAGAGAGAGAGTGTTGGTTAAAAGATCAATACACAGACAGACTTGAATTCAATTCTTGAGGTTCAGACACAGCAGAGATGAGCTTGTAGTTGCCAAAAGTCCTTTTAGAAATAGTCCAGAGGTTATAGTCCAATGTCCATGCTCAGGGTGGCTCCAGTCAATGACTGGGGATCTCAATCCTTATGGCTTAAGGTTTCCCCCTCTTGAAACCCAAAGCAGATCTGAGATGAAGTAGGATCGTGTCCCAGGGTTTTTATACATTTCCAGCAGCCTTTCGGCCTGAGAAAACAATAGGCAGGGCCGGCTTTAGGCCGATTCCCCCGATTCCCCAGAATCGGGCCCTGCGCCTTAGGTGC